GGACAAGCAGTGGAAAAGCTTGCCAGATAGCAATATTAATGGCAAGCTATGTGTTTTTAGCTGGTTAGACTCCTGCAGTTCCCAACACACACTTTGGGGTCCCCAAGCCTTGGCTCTTGCTAACCTGCGCCTAATATTTTCTGGAATTAGGTAAACAGAATGTGTCCCTCCAGGGGGGAGGGAGGAGGTAAAGGGAGGGATTGAGGGAGAGAGTTCCAGAGTTTTGGGTCATAGTGGCTGAAGGCACAGCCACCTATGGTGGAATGGAGGGCACGAGGGACAAACAGGAGGCCGGAGCCAGACGATTGGAGGCAGTGGGTGGTGGAGTGGGGGGTAAGCAATTTGGATAGGTAGGGAGGTGCCAGGGCATAAATGGATTTGAAAACGAGTCAGAGGAACTTGATGTCGATCTGTTCGGTAATTGGGAGCCAGTGCAACTTGGCAAGAACTAGTGCGATGGAGGTACGGAGTTTCGTGCGTGTTAGTATCTGAGTGATGGAGTTCTAAATTAATCAAATTTTGTGTATGGTGGAATTGGGGAGACCAGCGAGGAGAGTATTTGAATTGTCCAGCCGGGAAGTGACAAAAGCACGGACCAGGTTTCAGCTGCTGTGGGTGTGAGTTACAGACGGATGTGGCAATGTGGCGGAAATAAATAATGACACACTGGGGTGACACTGCAATATGTGATGTGTTAACTAACTTTGGTTGTAATTAAACACATCGCTGAAAATTTCATTCCATCTATAATTGAAAACTTCAAGTGCTCCGTAGGTGTGACTCTCGCTCTTGCCCTCCCCCCCACACAAACACACTCAGGAAAATTAGAATAAACTGAGTATCCTGGTAACTGGCATTCCAAAGTGGGAAGGGAAAATCCAATACACTTTTCTGGGCCAGATTTGGATGGAGTCAGGGATGGGTGGTGTTACAACTGTAGAATGTCTTAAAAATGACCTGTAATTCTCTTCATTACCAGTTGCATAATTCAGAGCACCTACAATTCTATCCTTACAATGGGACATCCTGCAAATTAGTCCCCTAATATATAGCATTATTGAAGAAGAGAAGCAAGTTGCTCTCAGTGTCCTGGCCCACAATCCACCATATCGAATTGTTTGTTTTGGGCAGCTTTTTTAATATGGGAAACTTAAGGTAAGGGATACTTGGCAGACAGTTCCCTGTGACAAATAATGTGTTAATGTATTCGAACACCCTGTGATACCAAAACAATGACTTTGAGTGAGCCTGCACTGTGTCATACGTTTTGGAGTGGAACTGATCTGAACACTTCATTAAGATCTACCACATTACTCAACATCTGTGCTGCAACTGATTTTACACTAAACTCTGGATAACTCATTCCTGTTTGAACTTGTCACTACCACTTATTTCCTGCTGTTTCCTATGCAAAATGTTGATAAGGGGCTCCACTTTACTTATCATTCCACTTAAATACACAGCACAATTGTTGTCCAGCTGGGACCTCTCTCCATGTTAGGGCTTTAGCTTGCAGGGTCGAGAACATGTTTAGTTTGCCAGGTGTATTTTCTCTGAGTTGAGCCAGTTCAGCTCAGTAGGACATGTTTTCCTTTCACCTCCCCCCACCATCAAAATATTGAATTTCTTTTGATCATGGGTAATTAAAAAGCATGTTGGACTGAACGAATCTATTAAAATTCAAACCCAGAAACCTAACAGATCAAAGTTTGTTGCTTAACTATTAAAATTATTTGTAACAATTCATGTCCAGAATGAAACATTTATTATAATAAATCAGTTAAAGTACAGCATTCCACTCTGCTCCTGATTTGCTAAAGTTACAAACATTTTCATTTACTTTCACAATCTCATGATGACTAGTCCAGACATAAATCCCACCAGAAAATTATCTACGGAAGGTCTTGGTGGTGTTGTCATTGCTGGATTATTCTCTGATGTGACCTTTGATCTCTCACAACCATATAAACTCTGCTTTTCAAGTTTGAAACTCGTGGTAGCTTAGTTCAGACTTGTTGGATCACAGGTTATTTGCCCCTTGTCTTAATGTGTCAGTGCATTTAGTGTGAACACCGGTTTAATGAACCACTTGTTTTCAAATGTGTGTGGTCGCAACTATCCAACCATTCTGTTACTACATCCCTTAGCCTGCCTTCAATGTTACTAACATTACCCCTTTCCAGCAAGGATTATACTGTATGCCTTTTAGTTATACCCATTTCTTCAACTAGGCCAATTGTTACTGTTTGTATGCAGCACTCATTACTGTTTCTTTGCATACAGGGTATGCAGTTCTATGAAATTCCACGATTTCTGTACATAGCAGACAGAAATATCAACTTAGGATATCACCTATTTATTTTTTTCCAATTGGTGCAGTGTTTCAGTTTATTTACTCTATTCAATGAACTTGACCAGAGGTCAGATAATGTCATTGGCTCATCAGGTATCACTGCTGAATACTTATAATAATTCTTGCATTTGATATCGTGTCTTATCACGTCTTCTAGACGTCTCAAAGTGCTTCACAGAATATACTGTAAAGTGAATTGACTGTATGTTTTGTGTGCAAAACATAGAGGCCAATTGCGCACAGCCATGTTCCACAAACAGTCCTGGATTGAAGTAACCAATTTTTTTTAAAAGGAACTATTACCTCTGAAAACGTGATCTGCCAAACGACTAACAACCGAGTTCCTATTTACTGCTGGGTAAACAGTGGTGTGTGGAGTAAACAAACTTGCCCAACTTTTCGCCCTGCCAGGAATCGAACCTAGGTCCTCTTGCTTGTGAGGCGAGTGCTCTAACTACAGAGCTATAGGACTTCACTTGCATGTACTTGCCTGTATTTGTAATGAGATGCAGTCAAATGTCTTTCACAACTGTTAAGTAAGATGCATATCTGCAAACAGCAAATCTGCACTTACACTCTGAGTTGAGGATTGTTTTACTCATCAACGGATACAAAGCCATGTCAGACCTTGTAATACCTCCTTGCATCTGGCTCTGATCCCATTAACCTCCTAGTTGCTCACTCAAGCTAAATGAGCCAGTGTGTAACCTTGGATCTCTCTTGCTCCCCAGCTCTGCTTTGAACTCTGCATCTGAGCCCTGACCAAAACTGCTTTCTTCCATGTCCAAAACATTATGTGTTTGTGTCCCTATCCTACTTCTATGCCTTTATTACTATGAGTTTAGACCTCTCCCTAGCTCACCCTCCATAAACTGCAGCTCAAAATTTTGCAGCCTGTATCCTCTTCCATGCAAGATGCCATTCACTAACCTTGCCAGCTTCCATTAGGTCCATTACTCCAGCAAATCATTTGAAAACTCTTAACTTGAGCTTTAAATCCATTGTTTGTTTTATTCTCTATCTATATCATCTCTATTGTCTAGTCTGTGGCCTCCACTCTTTCAACTCTGGTGTATTGCTCACTCCTCACTCAATTAGTGGTCTCTCGCTTGCGAGGTGAGTCCTCCAACTACTGAGCTACAGGACTCCTACTTAAAAAAGTCTCATGCAGACTGAGGAATGTTACAGCTCATTTCAGATATAAATTACAGTTTCTAAATGTAGTGTTTTAATTTATAACAATGTGGTTAAAATACATTTGTTAAGAGAAATGGCAGCTCAACTGGCACCTCAGCTGGCAAAAGCACTTTGGGACATAAAGTACGTCTCTTCCAGGGAATCCCACGGGAACGTGTCTCTGACTCAAAATTGCATAGAAGCTGTCTGTCAAGAGTCCTGTGATGTACACTGGTTCCTCGCAGGACAAGCAACAACAACAACAACAACAACAAGATTCCATTTATAAAGCGCCTTTCACGTCAGGAGGACGTCCCAAGGCACTGCACAGTTGGGTCATGACCCGAGCAGGGGGGAAATGGTCAGGGTGAGGGGAGGGGAGGGAGCGAGGAGGGGGGAAATGGTCAGGGTGAGGGGAGGGATGGGAGGGAGCGAGAAGGGGGAAGAGAGTCGAGAGGGGAGCTGAAGGCACGGTCAAAGAGAAAGGTTTTGAGACCGGCCTTGAAGGAGGAGAGGGAGGAAGCAAGGCGAAGGCACTGGGGATAGAGTTCCAGAGCCTCGGGGCTGAGAAGCTGAAGGCCCGACCACCAATGGTAGGGCGATTGGGGCGGGGGATGTGGAGCAGACCGGAGCCGGAGGAACGGAGGGTACGGGCAGGTAGGTAGGGGGATAGTAGGTTGGAGAGGTAGGAGGGAGCAAGTCCGTGAATGGCCTTGTAGGTGAGGATGAGGATCTTTAAATCAATCCTCTGGGGGATGGGGAGCCAGTGGAGGCGAGCGAGGGTGAGAGTGATGTGGTCCCGAAGCCTGGTGCGGGACAGTACACGAGCTGCAGAGTTCTGAATGACCTGCAGCTTGTGGAGGGAGGTGCCGGGAAGGCCGGCGAGGAGAGAGTTGCCATAGTCCAGCCTTGAGGTGATAAAGGCGTGAACCAGGGTTTCAGCCGCGTGAGGGGTGAGGTAGTGCCGTAGTTTGGCGACTTTCCGGATTCCATTCCAGACTGCAAAGCACTTTGCATTCTGAGGCACTTTTCCTCGAAAGATGCAATTTAAGCTGTGGTTTTCTGTCTGAGCATTTCTAGGTTGAGGAGGAGTTGGGGGAAGAAGTGAAATTCACAAACAGGGGATGCAAACAACAAGTCCCGTTAGCGAGCAAACTGGCAGGTCAGTTGATTCCCACAGTAAGGCATGACACACTTCCCATTACCTGGAGGAGTGACTGTTCATATCAAATATCATGTTTTGGGCCCTGGTATACACGATTTGGATCCTGCATTTTAAAAAAAATTGTTCAGTGAAATTCTAAGACAGAAACTATCCAACTTTGCTTCTCATTTATCTTCATCTCAACTTTAAACTTCAACTCAGAATGAGCAGAAAAAGGGATAAGTGGTGTAAAAGCCATGGGCGAAATCTATGTTGAGTGATTTACTGTTATCTGTATGCGATTTGCACTGTGAATTCCAATTGTACCTTTGGCTCTGGTTTTCCAGTTAACTTTTTCAGCAGCTCATAAAGATGACTCCAGTTGCCCTGTGAGTACCAGCCAGGACTTTCTAGTGAAGGCAGTGACTCCTTTTCCTCATCGTTAACTGTAAAGAAAAACAAAGTTCATCAGATTATCTTGAATATTTCTATTATTTAAATTCTACCTGAACACCTCTGTTGGAAATCTGATAGTATGTTACAGATAACAGGTGTCAGCTGGCTCAAATGGTAGCAGTCTCTCCTCTGAGTCAGAAGGCTCTGGGTTCAAACCCCAAGTTGGGTCTCTGAACTCAGATAGTCTCTCTAGACTGGCATTCCCGTGTAGTGCTGGGGGCTGTTGCACAGTTGGAAGTGTTGACCTTCAGATGAGCTGTTAAACTGAGGTCCCATCTGGCTGTTCAGGTGGATGTTAAAGACCGCTGTGTGGCGTTACTTGAAAAGAGTTTCTCCAAGTGTCCTGGCAAACAATCCCCCAAATAAAATTGATCACTCACTTCATGGTTGTATTGGGTCATTACTCCGCACTCTGGGACGCTACCCTGGGTGAAGGCGCTATATAAATGCAAGTTGTTGTTGTTGTAATACTGTGCGCATCTTGGCTGCTGCATTCGTCTAAAAGATACACAGTCACACCACTTTACAGTATATCCTGTCAAACGCTTTGAGGTGTCGAAATGATGTGATAAGGTGCTATATCAAATGCAAAAATGATAAAATTGTGGTCCATATACTCCTCTCCACCTCCTCACATCAGATGGGCTGGTAGTGGACGCTACCGTGATACAGTTATCATTGGTGAAATCCTCAACAGTAGGTGGTGAACCACCATGGACAGAGCTTTACCACCAACTTTTGTCTCAGGGAAAAACAAGTATGGATTTAACAACAGGGAATTTTGGGGTCACAGTGATACCAAATATACATCTTGCTCTCTGTTTACGAGTATGTATCATCTTGCTACTCGATGTTTGATATGTGTCATCAGTTTTCTGCTACTGGGATGCATTAACAATGTGAGACATGAAACCATTGCCCTGTCAACCTTTTGAGCGGTTACAACCTATGGGGTTTCTGACGTTTGAGGTCTGTCGCCACCCTCCATCTCGCAGTCCCTCTGCCTCATCCCCTCCCTTGCTTCCTTCAAGAGCTGTCTCAAGACCCTCCTCTTCGACCGTGCCTTCGATCACCCTCCTTCCCCTCCCTGCCCTCAAACCTCCCCAATCCCTACGCCAGCTCAGGTCCGAAACATTGATTGTCCAGCACCTTGGGACATTCTCCCGACATGAAAGCCGATAAGCAAATGTAATTTTGTTGTTGATAGACAGAGGTTTTGTGTTGAATACTTGCTGCTTGATCTGGAATAACATAAAGAAACTCTTCGCAGCATAGAGCTCATGAACAACAATTAATATTCTCTTATTTTAGCCAAATAGTAGAAACAACAGCAAAAGTGATGGTTTTCAAAATAGTCGTAAATCATTTTGTCTTCATGGCTGCCAGATTCAAAATAATATTCTGTTAATTTTATATCTGAATTCAGTGATGTTTGAGAGAATTGGAACAAGTCTGACAACAGTACAGAGATGTTATTCTGCAAGTTGAGGAAGGGCAATAATTTTAGTTGTATTTCACAAGAAACAAATTCCTCAAAGAATGAGGTGTAACTGAAAAAGATTCTCCACAACTGAGATGAAATGTCAATGCTTCCAGCTTTGACTATATTATGCCTAGAAGACATTAGTAAATATCTGGGAGTGGTTACACGTCAGTCAATCTAATGAGAGAGCCGGTTCAGATGAATCTTGAAAACAAACATTAACAAAAAGGATCCTTATAATACATTTGGTACATGGCTTTTCGTGTCAGAAGGAATCTCTATGCACTTGCAGGGATATAAATGTTACAATGTGTGTAACATTGGAATAGAGGGTCTGGACTATGACCAAAAAATGAATTGAATCAATTATCTGTTTGTTATTCAATCCAAACCCTTCTGTATTCCACTTGTATAACTCGACCGTAATTCACTGTCTCTCATAAGACAAATTTGTAAGCAATATTTGTTTGAGCATTTTATGAAAACGTACACTTTTGGAATAAAGAAATGCTCAAAATGGAACCGCAACTAAATTTGAAAGTTTACGTTTTCTACAAGTTCAAGGGATTTTTCCAATTTTTAAAAAAAGATTTCGCAGATATTTTTTTACAACACAAATCATCCACTGAAGGGTTCTGCGGTACAACATGCATAGCAGCTAGTCAGTGAGCGAGCTTCATTGGTCAAAATTGGAATTGGGGAAAAAATATTCCATTTACTGGTAAGTGTCTGCATTCTTTTTGCTGATTCTGTGAAGTTCATCGGAAGGTCAAACACACTATAAATACTGGAAGAAAGGGAGAGGCCAAAGCAAACAGCAACTCGCAGCTGTTTAAAAATCTCAGTTCAGATCAGCAAAACATTTAATAAAATGCAATATACAGTATATACTGTATGATTTGTGTCTTGCCATTGTATCATGGCATTTGTCTCAAAGCACTGCTAAGGCTAATAGAGGTTTATAAAATACTGAGAATTATGAACTGGCCAAGACTGTTTAAATAACCTAAAGTAGTGGTGGCCAATCTGTGGCCCATGAGACGGAAATTGCCCGGGGGGTGGGGGGGCCGTCAAGCAGTGCTCCCCCCACCCCAAACATTTGTACAAGTCTGTGTTCAATCAGTAACTTGTATATATTTTTTCTTGATTGAATATATCTTGACTTGTGGCATGGGTCTGGAAATATTCAATCAAGGATTTTTTTTGTTGCCAAAAAAATCAAATTAGGCGAAATCCTTAAGGAGTCAAGGTCTCATTTTGAGGCCAATTTAGACTAAGTACAGAACTGTAAAAAAGAGCTCTGTGTTAATTTCTTTACCATGTTCAATCAGGCTCTCTACTCATGTGTAAACTCTGCTGCAGTTAGGTGTAATCTTGTGACTTAGTCCTTGTAAAAATGTTCTGAGATGCTCATCCTACGTGAAAAGCATTACATAAGTATACGCTGTTGGGAGTTGATAGGTAAGAAGAGCTCTGGGATGCTAAGCATTCTGGGATCCCACTCTGCGTGAGGGGCACTACCTGTGGAGTCCTGTAGCTCAGTGGTTAGAGCACTCACCTTGCAAGCGAGACACCTGGGTTCAATTCCAGGCAGGGCAAAACCTTAGGCAAGTTTCCTTACTCCACACGCCTAATAATAATCCCTCCAAAACAAAAGAAACAATAATAAATTGGTCATTTTCAATCCATGACTGTTTGTGGGACACTGCTGTGTGCAATTGGCTGCCGTGTTTCGCCCACAAATATACAGTCAATTCACTTTACAGCATATTCTGTGAAGTGCTTTGAGACATCTAGAAAACGTGAAAAGCGCTATATCAAATGCAAGGATTATTATTATTATTACATAAATGCAAGTTGTTGTTATTGTAAGAATGTGTTTGTGTTAGGCATGATTTGGGATAGTTGGCATTCTTGGGCCAACAATCATCCAGAAAAAATTGGTCATTCATTCTGTGGCTGTGTGCAACCTGGCTATTGTATTTTGCCCACCAAAACCACAGTAAAGCCACTTACAGAATATCCTGTGAAGCACTTTGAGAAGATTTAATAAGACGCTATACAAAGATTATTATTAAGTTAAATTCTTGGGAGACCAGGAACTGGAAAAAAACTCTTTGTTGGATATATGAGAGCTATACTGTATTTTTTATATGCCTAGAGCCAAGACTTATATGTAATAGGTAGCTTTGCTTTGCATTTTTAAATTGATTTCTGTAATGAGCACCAAAACCCTGTACAAAGGTTATTAGTCAATTAAACATTGAATCCGTGATAAGCAAGTCTCTTCTACATTACTTGGAGAATCATCACCGTGTATGTATTTGGACACTATTTAAAAGTAAGAACATCATAAATTACAGATCTTTTGACCATAGAAACAGGCCATTTGATGCATCGATAGGGATGACTTTATTTTTAATTTCAAAATCATCAAACCAGTTTCTTATGTCTTCTTACAATAATAATTCAGGATTAAGGTGCAAGTTCAAAGCCATAGTCTGGGCTCCTCAGCTTTCACCATGGAAAGTGGCCTTTGGGAGAGGGGGAAATCACTTATAAACCCATTTAATGTGAAAATATTATATGGTCCACAAACATGTGCTACTTCATTGAGAAATCTGAGTGAAGTGACAAGGAACAGTGTGCACCTCACCAATACTTCACGTTCTGCAAGATCACTCTTAACTTGTCTACATTTATTCTTCTATTTCTACTTTGAATATTAACAAATACAAAAATATTCAACCAATGATGTTCTTATATTATATTATTATGATTATTATTATATTATTATATTAAGTGTTTAGGTGGACTAAAATTGAAAATTTCAGATATAAATCCCAGTTGGAATGGTTTCGCTGTGTGGACTAGCGGTCCAGTCAACCACACATTCCATACTCTATGTCTTCATAAAAGGTTCCAGGGAGCAGGGCTAATGGGACATCAGCCATCCCAGTCAGCTGTGCCTCACTGATGAGGAAACCATTTGGAAGGTCAACCGTGAATTTACTTGGAGCAGCTGCAGTGGAACATGTGGTAATATTCTGCTAACAATATTTTGGAATATTTCTCTGAGTTATCTTCTGCATAAGTAACGTAAAGCAAGGAAATAAGTCAAATAAATCCACGAGTCCTGTAGGTGGTTAGAGCACTCGCTTTGCAAGTGAGAGACCTGAGTTCAATTCCAGGCAGGGCGAAACCTTGGGCAAGTTTCCTTACTCCACACGCATAATAATAATCCCTCCAAAAAACAAAAACAATAATAAAAAAATTGGTCATTTTCAATCTACGACTGTTTATGGGACATTGCTGTGCGCAATTGGCTGCAGCGTTCGCCCACAAATATACAGTCAATTCACTTTACAGTGTGTTCTGTGAAGCACTTTGGGACTTCCTCCCGACGTGAAAAGCGCTATATCAAATGCAAGGATTATTATTATTATAATACTGACATCAGAGTGCTGGAATACTTAAAGGACTTAATACTTAGTAAAACTTAATCCC